ACCAACCTAGACCTGATAAAAGAGGTACGAGACCTGGCTTACATTCAAACTGCAGCTTACCACCAAAGAGTAGCTCGATACTATAACGCCCGAGTCAGAAAATGACACTTTTGCATTGGCGACCTGGTTCTTTGGAAGGTTATGGTACCAGAGTCCGGCGTTGGCAATCTCGGACCGAACTAGGAAGGGTCGTACCGAGTCAAACGGGTATTCGGGGAAGGTATGTATGAACTCGAAACCTTAGAAAGGAAGCAGGTACCACGAGCATGGAACGTTGATAACCTAAGAAGGTACTACTCGTGAACTTGCAACCCAAAGATGACGGACTGGAGAGAGGACTACGAGTCACTCCCAGAAGGCTACAAACTACGACGCCGAGCTGACAAAAGACCTCGACACTGAGACAAGTCCTAGTCGCCTCCTCGACATAGGCAGAAAAGTCCTAGTCGCCTCCTCGGCATAGGCGGACAAGTCCTAGTCGCCTCCTCCACATAGGCAGAAAAGTCCTAGTCGCCTCCACGGCATAGGCGGACAAGTCCTAGTCGCCTCCTCGGCATAGGCAAACAAGTCTTAGTTGCCTATGAGGCATAGACAACTCGGGTATAAACCCTACGGTGTCTAACTTTCCTCGACGTATAGTAACGTAAGGTTAATCCCACATAGAGCCGAGCTCGTTAGCTCGGCACTTCGGGGTAACCAACACTTGGACAAATAAGCAATCCAGGTGTAGACAGTTCGGGTATGTACCCTATGGCATCTAGCTGTCCTGGATCGCCACGATAATTATATCGTTCTCAATAGTGTTGAGCTCACCAGCTCGGTAGTAACGTTAACTTCTATTTGGTTTAGCTCGCTAGCTCGGGATTAATCTACACTTAGAAAATTTTTTGCGCAAGAAGATTGTCAAAACACTTATATTTCATTAATGTGGAGTTTTGAGTACAAAAAAAAAAAAGGAAGAAGAAACTACTACTATAGCCGAGCTTAGAGGCCCAGGATGTACATTACAAGAGGTCCAAGAAAAGAGGCAAGGTTATGCGCCCGAACTGCCGGGCAGGTTAGTCTCCATGCAATCCTCCTCCGCGTCCTCTCGGCCTGCCTCTCCTGACGAGCCTGCCTTGGGGACTTCATCATCACTTTCCTCTTCGGAGGAACCGGGTTCTTCATTAGCCACTTTCGCCATCTCGGGAGTAACATCAGACATGGAAACAGTTCTGAGGTCAAGTTCGGGAAACTTCTATCGCATCAGCCACTTGCACAGTTTGAAACTGGACCGGTACGAGCTTGATCCATACTCAACCTGGAGATTGTGAAACTCCGGAGACTCCTTGAAATCTTCGATGGCACGCTCTCTCTCCTCAACCCGCATCTCCTGGATGGCGGTTTCGAAGATCTCAGTATCGAGGTTTTCGTTCTCGCGTTTGAGTTTTTCCTTCTCCTCCGTCAGCACCATGATTAGCTCTTGTTGGCTCCGAGCTCCCTTCTTAGCTCGAAGAACCTCACCCCGAGCTAAGTCCAACTTGTGGTAAAGTTTCTGAGCGTTCTCCTCGTCTTCCCGAGCTCGTTTCAGGCGGATCTCGGACGGGTAGACTAGCGAATGAATGGCGGAGTTCACCTGGCAAATAGAGAGCAGATGTAAGTACTGCTAACAGATGAATAAGGAAATAGAATAAAAAGGCGAGGTACTCACCACCATGCAGTAACTGGCAGCCCTACCCCTGAGCTGACTTGTGGGCATGTCAGCCCACTTCGCTACTTCAGCAGGAAAAACGGTATCCTTGATTTTGAGGTGCCTAGGCTGCGGGGTCATTATGCTCTCCTTCGAGAGCTGAGGTTCGGGCATAGAAGCACTCTCGGGCTCACGAGGCGGAGCTCCTTCGTCCAGGTCCACGATAGGAGGTTGGGGACGGACCTCCTCCTCCAGAAGCTTGGCCAAGATCGGCTCCAACGTAGCGACCTCGGGTGGGACGAGAGTTGAAGGACCAGCCTCTCGGCAAGACTTCTTTGAGGCCTTCCTCTTCTTCCCCCTCTGGAAGCTCCTCAGAAGGTTTTCTGCATCAACGTCCGTTATAGAAGAGAAAAAGGAAGGGGTTAGTCACGAACTGAAGTAAGTAAAAAATAAGAAAGAGTACTATGAGTGCCAAGGTGGAGGCCTACCAGGAGGACTCAGCCCAACTCGCACAAGCTTCTCCTCGGCCAAGAAATCTTTCATCTCCAAGCCGAGGTTCCTCCAGGAGTTAACGACCGCCCTGGTCTCCGCATCTAGCCTCACCCCGGGGTCTTTGATGGCCAATCGCCAATTAGTCGGGAAGGGCCAGCCCTTAGAGTTCCAGACAAAAAAGTACCTCCTCTTCCAGGCCGGTACTTTGTTCGGGCTGCCGAATAGGATTTTGAACCCAGGGCGGGGGGAAATGTAGTAACTCTGTTGGGTATCCTCACGCAGGCAAGCGGAGTTCTTCTTGATCGAACAAATCGAACTAAAAGTATCTATGGAAAGAGGTTGGTTATACTCGTGGAACAAAGAGATTGTGTCAACTATAGCTCGGATGGAGTTCGGGTGTAATTGGTCGATGGTAATATCAAAGAACTTAATAATTTCTACAATGAATGGGTGGAACGGGAAGTGCAACCCAGCTACGAGCTGCTCTTCAAAAACAGCAAGCTCATGGTGACCATGAACCCAAGGGTACCGACCCAAAGGAATACTAAAAATAAGGTTATCGGGAAGATGGTAATGAGCTACCAAGGACAGTAACCTGTCCGAGGTCATAGTGGAAGAGCTGAAGTCATCCGGATCCTGACCCCGGGAAGAAGACGGGACCCCCTCTCTGGAGGTCGGTCCCACCACTCAAACTTCAGGTTCCTTAGGCCGAGATGGCCCGACTTCGGGTAAAGGTGTATCTCCTAAGAGACAAGGAGAGGAACTGCTTGGCGAGGAGCTGACCTCGCCAGCGGGAGCCGAGGACTGCACCTTGGCACCCTCGGGCTTACTAGAATCGCTAAGAAGTCTATCTATACTAGCACTAGACATGTTGGAACAGGAAAAGGAAAGGAGAACAAACTAACGAAAGAAGACGAACTCACCGAAAGGACGAAAACAACCTCGAAACACAAAGGAAAGAGTGGCGAGCTGAAAGACTTCGGCGCGACCTCGGGAGAGCTCAATCACAAGATTTTTTGGCAAAGGAGAGGGGCCCCTTGGCCCCCTATTTATAGTTCACCACATGGCGATCAATGGCTGAGACCTGTGCGATCCAACGGCTCCTACGAAAACTGGCTGCACGACACCCGATGACGAAATCAGTTGAGCGCGCTCTTTGATGTCCATGGAGTCTATAAACAGTGTGACGTCCGTGTGTGCCCGGGACGCGATCTGGGTCATTTCGTGGTTGATCCAGACAATTGAACAGGTCCGACCAACGATTCACTCTTTAGATTGACCAGACCTCACTCCAAATCCACCTAGACCCTCCATGAACTCCTCGCACCGGGTTGGGACCCCTGGCACAAGGAGTGGGGGGCAATTGATGAAGGGTGATTTGGCACAACCTAACAGGAAGGGGACACGTAAGCGCGATCTGGTTGAAGGATGATAACTCAGTCGGGCAAGCCCAGTTCGCAACATTCGCAGTTCGGGTACCCAGCCACCTAGGCTCCAAACCCACCTCGGCGTAGAGGCATCTCGGGCACCAGTCCAAGACTGAAGAATCGAAGTTCCAGCTCAGAGCTAATGAGCCGAAGCGTCGTATAACCAACTTCGAAGGCCTTCCCAACAGATCTCAAATCTCTTGGGATCATGATGAGTCAACAGATCCTGAATCTCCCGAGGTCACGATAAGAACTTATCCCGATTCCACTTGAATCGGGGCTGGACGATAAGCCTCATCCTCGTGCTGCCCTCTTCCAAAAATGGAACCAACCTTATCTCTACAGCCCGAAGAACCCATAAATTTTTCGTGAAGCCCACGGCTACTCCAGTATATAAAGACTAGAACCTCAAGGCAAAGGTACGCGTAATTATTTTACTCTCTAGCACTCAAAGCTCTCAACCATTCAGCTACCTGGAGTCCGGATCACCATCCAGCTAAGATTATCAGATCGCGCACCATCATTACCAAAATCCAAGTTCTGGACAGAGTTGTACATATTCAACTTCAACTGATGCTTCAATACTACGGTAAAATTGATCAGAGTATAATTCTTGACCCTACATAATTATAGATCTGTTCTTCCATAATTGGCTCCACAGTTGGTGACCATCATTATAAAAGAGAGATATTGGTAAATGTGATGTTCTATCTGCTCAAAACTGGGAAAAAAACTCTCCTTACTCCATTAATAACAACCACTCTTCCTGAAAATCCAGTCCCCACAAGCCCAACAACTGAAGCCAACATCCAAGTTACAGATACAGCTAAATTTGCTATCTGAAATTTCTAATAATGCAAGCCCATTTCCCAACTGTTTGTTCTGCTCTGTCATTATTTTTTTCAGAGCCAGTTCTCTGCTAAGATTATTATAGCTTTTCTGCAACACCAGTTTTCAAGGACTCAAAAATCTCTACTGCTAATCTGAGCTCCAAGATTATACATGACTGAACTAAAAATCTGGTGGGGTTAACCAG